CAAAATAACTATAAAGACGTGATTTAATGATTTTTTCAACGATCTTGCTAAATACAGATAAAATTGAAATTGGACGATAGTTTTCCACGATATTCTTATCGCCATTTATATGTAATGGTATAACTTTCGAATATTTAAAACAATCTGGAAAGACTCCAGTACTAAATATAACATTTATCAGATTGGTCAAAGGATCTAACAACAAATCAGTAGTTTGTTTTATAATTTTAACGTTTAGTTCATGAACGTCAAGAGAATTAGAGTTTTTTAAGCATTATATTGTATTCAAAACTTCATTTTGTGTGACCGGATTTAAAAAAAATGATCCAACTGGTGCAGGAAAGTTTTTAAAAGATAAAAGGCTTTTATTAGATACTTTTGGAAGCGATTTAATTATTTCAAGAGAAATATTTGTAAAAAAATCATTAAATGCGTCAGGATTAAGATTAATATTACTGTTCTTAGAGACAACTCTGTTTCCTTCGTAATTAATTATTCGCCAGCAGGCCTTCGACTTATTGCTAGATGTTGTTATGTAATTACTATAAGCAGTTTTTTTGGTATTTTTTAGGGTAAGATAATATTGATTTCTAAATTGTTTATAAGTGTTTGAATCACTCGACTGTTTGCTTACTTCTGCTTTAACTTTAAGAGCTGATAGAGTATTTCTCATAGATTTTATATTTTCATTGAACCAAACTACCGGTGATTTTTTTGCTTGTTCTACGCATTTTTTAAGTGGGCAAAATTTGACAACCAAATCACTATAGGTTTTTATTAAAAAATTTGCAAGATACTCTGCATCATAAATTGTTTCAAAGATAACCCAGTCAATAGAGTTTAGGGAATATTTGATTTTATCAATAGATTTTTTTGAGAAAATCCTGTTGTAAAAAATTTGTCGTTGATTTTCAATATTATTTTTCACAGTTATAAATTGGCCTCGATGGTCTGAAATACATTATTCAAAAACACCCGAATGTATTGAAGAATCGTCTAAGTTTGTAATTATGTTATCTAAACATGAGGAAGATGTAGCCGTGACTCTAGTATATTCATTAATCGCAGTTTTGAAACCAAAAGACATTAAAATAGAATTGAGCTCGGTATTACCTCTCGAAGTAACTTTAAAATCAATATTAAAATCACCCAAGATAATAATATTTCGTTCAAGTGTTACAATTATATCTAAAAACTTTTCAAAATTTTTCAAAAAATAAACGAGGTGTCATTCGATTCGGAATAGCGTGTAGATGATTTTTGAAAAAATTTAAGAGCCGCTTGCAAAAATTGCAAAAGTTATAAACAATTAACTGAAAAAAAAAAATTGGGTTTGGCTTTTTGAAAATATCTCAAAAACGGTTTGACATTTTCTAAATTTAAAAAAAGATTCGAAAAGAGGAGGAAATTTCCCAAGAAAAGTTCTATCACCCGGAACTGTAGGACTAATATTTATAATTTTCCCAGAGGGTTGAAAATACGGCCGAAAACGGACACTCTGGTTTGGGTAAGCTTCGCCCACTGTAGATCTTTAATGAATAAATATTATTTAAACTTATTAAATATAAAAATTACAAATTGAAAAAATTCTGGAATATAGTGGATAGATGAATGAAGAGAAATCCGCGTCAAAAAATTTTTATCCCAAATTTTCTATTAATTATGCATTAATTAATTAACAATTTTTTCCTACTTAAACATTAACATTGCAAGTGCGATAATTGTTAAATAACAAATCTAAGAATTTTTTTTTTGAGCAATTTTTGAACGGTCTCATAAGAGATTCCCGTTGGAAAAATTAAAAAAATAATTTTTCTTTTTGTTATTAACAATTTACTTGTGTTAAAAATTAAAAAGCTCGAATAATCATTGAAAAAAGCCCCATGAAATTGTTTAAAAAATTGTTATAAACAAATGCGTTGTTTATAAGAAAATTTAATTTTTTTTTTTGGAAACGTAATCTTTGATGCAAATTGTTTATAATAAAACCTGGTGATAATCACAGATTATTTATTATATAGAAACCAAGTTGGACTGTAATTAACATATTAAAAAAAAACATTATAAATTGTCTACAACGGCTATCGGCTAACCTCACACATGGGTTGTCTTTTAAGTAATGTCACTTGTCGCGCGATTGACAGTATTGACAGAGTAAGTAGTTTTTTCGTGAACACAAATTATGATTGAAAAAATTTTTATTGCTTAACGAATTTGTTAATTACACTCCTATGCACCGTACACGTTTAATCCAGATCAAGGGTTTAATCGCGTTTAGTACCATAGCTAAAAATGGTACTAAACGCGATTAAACCCTTGGTCTGGATTAAACGTGTACGGTGCATACAGGCGATAACAATTTTTTTTACCACTTTACCATTTTTTTTTAATAATAATTTATCTTGCTCTTTGATAACTAAAAAAATTATTTTTATTTAAATTTTCATTGTTTATTTAATAAACAATTTGTTGTATACAATTACATTTTGGACTTAATTTGTTCTTAAATTAATAATTAATAAATAAGTCTTAAGTTTTTTTATCGTATCTTAATTAGTTTTTCAGTTATATTAATTTAAAAGACAAAAAACCAGGTGAGAATGGTAGAGTTACATCTAAAAATAATAGAACTTGATAAAAAATATAAATAAAGTTTTTCTCAAAAAATAATACACGGTTGGTTTTGTTTCATCATGAAGAAAACTAAAAAAACAAATTGTTTATTAAATAAATAATGAAAATTTAAATAAAAACATTTTTTTTAATTATTAATCAAGCTATTTCATTTTTAACCTAAGTAAATTGTTAATAACAAAGTGAAAAATAACAATTTTTTAATTTTTCCAACGGGGATCTCTTATGAGACCGTTCAACAATTGCTCTAAGAAAGAAACAAATCTCAAATTTGTTATTTAACAATTATCTCATTTGCAATCTTAATGTTCAAGTAAGAAAAAATTGTTAATTATCTAATGAGTAATTAATAGAAAAATCGCGATAAAAATTGTATGACCGCGGATTATTGTTCATTCATCTCTCCAGCAGATGCTTGAATTTTTTAAATTCGTAATTTTTATATTTAATGAGTTTAAATGTCCACAGTCGGCGAAGCTTACGCAAACCAGAATCTCCGTTTTCGGCCGTATTTTCAACCCTCTGGGAAAATTATAAATATTGGTCCTACAGTTCCAGGTGGTAAAACATTTTATTGGGCAAATTTCCTTCTCTTTTCGAATCTTTTTTCAAATTAAGAAAATGTCAAACAGATTTTGAGATATTTTCAAAAAGCCAAACCCAATTTTTTTTTTTTTTTCAGTTAATTGTTTATAACTTTTACAATTTTTTCAAAAATCACCTACACGCTATTCTGAATCGAATGACACCTCGGAGAAAAAAGTTTGACCCAAAAAGCATTGGTTAACTAGACTAATATATCAAAAACAAAAATCAATATCATTTTAAAAATTTCAGAAAAATCGAGCTCTATAAAAAAAAAAGATAAATCAAAAACGAAAAGTGATATCAACATGAACTTTCTAGTAAAAAACAAACTCTATAAGGGAACAAAGCCTATTGATTCTAAAAAAATCTGAATTAAAATGCGGGGGGTTGAGAGGGGTTGAAATATTAAAAAAATCATAAATCAAAAATGAAAAGCGATATCAACATTAAATTGTTAGTAAAAATCAAGATAAGGGAATGAAATATATCCAAATAAAAATGGGGTATAAGGGGGTTGAAATATTGAAAAAAATCCTAACTCAAAAACAGAAAACAATATAAAATTAAAATCTTTACGAAAAATAAAGCTTTATAAGGGGATATCTCCTATTGATTCTAAAAAAAATCTGAATAAAAATGGGAGTTAAAAATATTTTTAAAAATCCTTACTTAAAAATAAAAAATAATATAGCCATGTTCTATAAGGGGAAACGCCCTTTTATTTAAAAAAAATCCAATTAAAAATTGGGCGTTTAAGAGGGTTGGAATAAAAAAATAATAAATAAAAAATTAAAATTGATAGCAACATCAATTTTTTTGAAAAATCAAGCTCTATAAGAAGTTGAATCCTATTGATTCTGAAATTAATCTGAATAAATATGGGGATCAAAAAAAGGCTTGAAATATTGAAAAAAATCGTAACTCAGAAACTAAGAACGATATTAAATTGAAATCTTCACGAAAAATTAAGCTTTATAAGAGGATAAAGCGTATTGATTTTGAAAAAATATAAATAAAAATGGAGGTGTAAGGGAAGTTGAAATATTTAAAAAAATCCTAACTCAAAAAAGAAAAAATAATAACAACTTAAAATTTTTAGTAAAAATCAAGCTCTGTAAGAAAACAAAGCTAATTAATTTTAAAACAATTTGTTAATAAATAGAGAGGTTAAGGGGGTGTTGAAATAAAACAAAATGAAACATCAAAAACGATATCAACATGAAAATTAAGCTCTATAAGGAAATTAAGCCTATTTATTCTGAAACCAATCTGAATAAAAATGGGCGGGATAAGGGGGAGGGATACTAAAAAAAATCCTAATTCAGAAACAAAACACGATAACAAATTAAAATCTTAACTGTATAAGGGGATGAAGCCTATTGATTCTGAAAAAAATCTGATTGAAAATGAGGATTAAATGGGGTCTGTCAAACTGTGAAAAGTATAATATAGAATGCCAAGCATTATATATATCTTCATTCTAGTTATCAATATTATGTTAGTACTGGTATCTCGTCTGTCCCATATTATTGGATCACCATAATCATTTTTATTATAGGAAATAATTCCCAATATCTACTCAAATATGACCAATGTAAAATAAAGTAAAATCATTTTCTATATACCCTCTTTCGCTTTAGATAAATTTAATGCCTGTTGTGGTATTAGCAAAAAATGTAGTTGTTTTTCGGAGAAAAACCGTTGCTCGATATTTCAGTATCACTGTCTTTGGGTTTATTTCATTTCCCTTTGTTTTTGTTCTTTCAATGAAAACTTACATAACTTATCTAGAATGTTAAACACGGCATTGTTTTCGGCCTCAGTCTCCAAAGAAAGCATTTCCATATGTTTGCTATGGCAGTAGAGTAAAGTATCCAGGTAATTTAACTAAAATACAAAATAAAAATCAGTAAACAAAATAGAGCCTAAAAAATAGTACACTTACCTTCAATTCAAGATTAAGAGTATACTCTTTTGATCCAACTTTGAAGGATAATTGTCCAGTTGTATTTCCAGTGATATCTACAAATAATTATTTACAGATATTAAAATTTAAAAATAATTTTAACAGATAATTAATGTAATTGCAATGTAGAGCAAAAAATGTTTGTATAGTTTTGTCCAAAAATTAACCGCTTTTTTTATTCTCTAAAACATTCAACTTCTTAACAAAATTCGCTCGTACCTCGCTAAATAAAAAATTAATTGAAATCAATTTAATGAAAAATGATCAATAGGAACATAAAAAACAAACAAATCAGATTTACTTAAAAAAATATGAGTTCAGATATGTTTGTGACCTTAACTATATAAACCTTTTTAGCTTTATTATTGTTGTCAACCTGTATATTAATAAAAATAAAGAACCCTATACTGAAGTCACGAGGGTAATTTTAATGTATATAATGATGGTAAATCAACTATAGTTTTCTTCTTTGACAAATAAAATATTATCAAAGGTACATTCCATTATAAATTAAAGTCACATGGGAAATTTTAAAGTATGCAGTAGTTCTAAGACAACTACTTTCTCTCCTAGAGGACTTGCATAAAACCATAGACAAACAAAATGGTAAACTATCATAAGGGGTCCGTACTATTTCATAGGTATTGCTATTTCTTAAAAAAATAACACAGAAAGTTGGTTAAAGTAGGAAATATCTAAGGCGGGAATCGATCATCATTAATTTCCTATTAAAAGTTGTCGAGTTCTATAGCCTGAGAAAATAATTTTTTTTTATTTTTTACCTAGTACCATTTTGCAATTTCTGAAGTTTCATAAGATAAACAAGGTCAGTATGCCCACAATCTTGTTTCGATGACTAAATTTCTCAAATCCGGAATTTGAATAATTTCATAGCCCGAGGAAATTTGTTTTCCAATTTTTGTACGGAATAGGGAATTCAGGGATTTATAAAATTTTGTAAGAACAGCAAGGCCAGTAAGCTCACATTTTTGTTTCGACAAATAAATTTCTCAACATCTGAAGTATGGTGTACTGGGGTTACGGTAATACCGGCGGTTGACTTTGTTTACAAGTTCATTTCTGGAGTTATTTACTTCTATCATTTTAATTTTCAAGAATACCGGTATGTTATGTTGGGAATGGGGTGTTAATACACTTCAACCTGAAAGATCTATTGTGCTCCCTTCTATCGCAAATGCAACAAGAGAATGTCTCGATGCATATAACGACTCTACCAATCCTATCTTCTCAAGAAAGTGTAAGATTTGGAGTGTCTTCAAGCTAGATAAATATATCTCTTCTATTTGATATGCTCCTAGGTATAGTGCCCTTGGATTCTGGAGTGCTTCCCATTCAGTCAGAATGTGAATGGAGGTTTCGTCGTCCTCCTCCTTACAGAATCTGCACTCACTCTTTTCTACTACTCTCATTTTACTAAGGTGTTCTTTGAGTCGGCAATTCCTGGTAAGGTTCGTTCTTACAATGCGTAGCCTGTTCTGGTTCAGACAGATACAGGCTTTAGATCTTTTTTGATTATATTCACTTAGAAATATCTTAGCCTATCTTAGTCCCAAGAGATTGTTCCAATTATCGGTTATTCTTTTTTAATCACTCCTAATAATGTGTTACTGCTGATAGCGCAGAACGGCTCAGGTCTCACAAAAAGTGTTTGAACCCTTTTCCTTGCGAGACTATCTGCAATTTCGTTACCCTTTACCCCGTTATGTCCCGGGGCCCAAGTGAGAATAACTAGTCTACCGATATAACCACATTTAGTCTAATAAGTTTTTCGTGGTCATACCGGTAGACTTAAAAAATTAAAACGATTGGGGTGGATAACTGCATAAGTAAATTTGTGAACCCCTGTATCAAAGTAACCTTAGTGGACGGTAGATTCTTTAATTAAGTTTTTAATAAGCTAAAATAAATCATAATGACCATATTCTTGAATACGTAAGCTTATTTTCTTAAAAAAATTAATTGCAATCTTTGCCTTGTCTCTGTCTTGTTTCTTAAAACATTAGCTTCAGCTACGATTCTCTTTTGTAAATCTTGAATATTATTAACACCTCCTAGAAAAAAGTCACAAGATGTCAAGTCTGGGGATCTTGCATGACCTCATATAGGAGCATTATTTCATTTTTCTTTCCATCGTTCAGAAATAACATTTATTAAATGTTTTCTAATATTTGCTGTAAAATAGAGTGGTTCATCATCGTGCATAAACCACATGTGATGAATTCATAGTGGCACATCTTCAAATAGTAACGTTTATTGTAAGACATTTCAATAATTTTCTTCAAGGATAGATGGGATCTTTCGTTTGAAATTAGGAGTTTATAAAATGTTTTCAGTTTAGATTATAAAAAAATTATTTTGACATGATTTAAATTGCTGTCTCATAGTGTACCATGCCTTGTTCCAGTAAGTACCACTGGGTAGATCGGATGGAGTCGAACTTGGTGCTAGAGCAGTTCCTGTCGACATATTGAGATCAAATTTGGTATAAGACTGTATTATCCTATTAGAATAAAAATTTCAAAAAAAATCGCCCCCATCCCGTAGTTGATGAAGGGGGTGTCACCCTTAAAAAATAGTTACAATGTTTTAAATAAAACAATTGGAACCTACGATTTCTTCTACACACAACATTTTAAATTTTTCTGATTAAATTTTTCCAAAAATTTTCGACCTGAACTCTCATAGTTTGAATGTGGGGGACGCTGATATTTAAAAATAGTTACATAGAAGATACGAAACTCATTTTTGGCACTACTAAAGTAGATCTAATTTAGAACGTTTCTGTATAAAAATCTTACCCATCATTCACTAGAAAAAAATGGAGGGGGTTCCCCCAAAAAATTACGTCACAATGTTTCATGTGAAATTGTTGAAACTACGAATTTTTCTACATACATACAATTTTTCGACAAAAATTTTTCTTCCGAACTCTGACGATTCAGGTCAAACATTTTTCAGTAAAAAAAAATGCTTTGAAAAAATTTAAAATTTTGGGTATATATGTATACAGTGTGTACCAATAAAAACTCCCAGGCCGGATATTTTGAAAAGTAATAGAGATATTTTAATTCTGAAAAAGCCAGATCAGAGAGCACTAAGAGAGCTTTATTTTCAGATGTAAATTAATTTTAAATAGGTCAATATATAGATGGCGCTGCGCTCAATAAATGTTTTTCGATGGGAGGATCTTTCTTATGTAGCGCATCTTGTAAAAAAATGCATTTTTAAGTAGATTTTGTTCTATGAACTAATTCGATAAATCCATTAATTTTTGATATACCGAGTGGGTCACTCAAAACAGTTTCATCCTGTTTTTCAGCATTAATCATAGGATTTAAAGAAAATGCTAAAACAGGTCGATTTTTATTTCAAATTAAAAACATTTTTACAATACAGACATCTGTCATGTGTCAACCCCCTCCCTTGCACTTCACTGACACCATAATTTTAAATAGGTAATGTACAATGTATGGTACATCATTAAAAAGGTAATTAAATGGGAAATTCAGAAATATTTCTGTTTTGTCCCCTTCTAGCGGAAAAAAAACTATTACGTATTATAGAGTGTGATACTACAATGTGTAGTACATCAATCAAAAGGTAATTTTATGGGGAATTTATAAATATGTTTGTTTATTGCGATAGTTTTAATTGTACCGCCCTCTATCGGGATAAAAAAACTACGTATTATAAAGTGACACCTTATTTGAAAGTAAATTTAATTACTAATTTAATGCACTGCATAACACTAATATAAATATCCTCCAAATTGCACTTGCAATAGTTTGAAAAATAGTCATGCATTATTTTAAACATTATTATTGCTAACTTTATTTTATTACAAGTGCAATATGGAAATATTTATATTCATGACATGTGGTGCATTGAATTAGCTATTAAATTAGCTTTCAAATGAAGTGTTACAGGTTTTTTATCTCGATAGAGGGCGGTAAAATTAAAAGTATCGCAATAAACATTCATATTTTTGACTTCCTCACAAAATTACCTTTTTAATGATGTGCCGTACATGGTACATTCCTTATTTAAAATGAAGGGGTTGGAGAAGTGGAAGAGAGGGGGTTGACACATGACAGATGTTTGCATTGTGAAAATATGTTCAATTTGGAATAAAAATCGATCTGTCTTAGCATTTTCTTAAAATCCAATGATTAATGCCGAAAAACAGAGTGAAACTGTTTTGAGTGACCCACTCTGTATATCAAAAATGATTAGATTTATCGAATTAGTTTATAAAACAAAATCTGCTTAAAATGCATTTTTTACAAGATGCGCTACATAAGAAAGATCCTCCCATCGAAAAAAAATAATTGAGCGCAGCGCCATCTACATATTGACATATTTAAAATTAATTTATATCTAAAATTAAAGCTCTCTTAGCGCTCTATGAACTGGTTTTTACAGAACTAAAATAGCTCTATTACCTACCAAAATATCTGGCCTGGGAGTTTTTATTGGTACACCCTGTATACAGAAACGTTGTATTATAAATGTGCCAAAAATAAGATTTTAATCTTGTCTGTAACTATTTTTAAATACCAGCCCCTACATCCAAACTATGACGGTTCAGATTTAAAAACAGTTTTAGAAAATTATTAACAAAAAAATAAAAAAATTTGAAATGTATGTAGAGATAGCAATTGTTTTCTTGAAAAACTTGTAACTTTATTTTTGAGAGTAGCACCCCCTCCATATAAGCTACAGGGCAGGAGAGGAATTTTTTTACTCTATTTTCATATTTATTGCAGTATACCAAGTTTGTACTCAATATCTCGACCCATACTCTCCTAGCTCTTAGAGCCAAAATACAACCAAAATAAAGCCCAAAGAAAAATCGTCCCAATATATACTATCTGCCCTAATTTATTTTTTATTTCTGTCGGACTTTCAGCTATTCCTTTTTTATAATTTTAGGTCTATTTTATTTTTAGTTTTTATTATTATTTATGCGAATTTTTTTGACTCACTTGGTCCCGAAAAATATTTTGCACAGAGGTCACATGTGTAAAGCTACTCT